TTACTAGAATCCCACCACTCCACCACAGAGTCACCGCAGTAGACGTTAGATGAGCGCTGTCGCTATGCGGCACTTGTTGTAGTATTTTCTAGCGAGTCTTTTCCGTTTCGGGTTTCCGTGTCTCTCTTCCGTTGACTCGTTGAGCATGCGCAGTGTAAACATGGCGGGTAAACAATCGTGAAAAGGAGCTTGGAAAGTTGATATGCTGTGAGAATTAGCAGGTTATACCATGAATTAAGAGATACATTCTAGTTTAGAAACAGGACAACTGTGAGTTAACGTTCATATTTCCAACAAGGCAAGTCAAAGGTGGCAATAGAATAGTTTTATTTGAGATATACAGAGTTGTTCATCTAGATCTGCAGAGGTGATAGGTTTTTTGTATGGAAGGGTGTCAGGCTGTATAGACTAAAGTCCAAAATTTTCTGCTTTACATATCCAAAATTCCGCTTTTCTCTGCTTTGTCAATTTGGCAATTTTCCGACTTTCAAAAAAAACTTAAAGCATACTATGAACTATTTACTTGCCTCATTGTAGGCGCCCCTCGATGTCCCCATTGAATACCTGGTACTGTGTCTATTTTTAGAGCGGGCCGCGCAGAGGCTTGTGGGACAACAAGTTTCTGTTTCTGTTTCTGTTGTAATTTTGTTTTTGTTTTGTTTGTTCGCTTACTTTATTTTATACTGGACTCAAGGGTTTTAAATCCACATGAGTAGAAACACACTCCAGGAATCTGGCTCGGTCCAGTTTTTGGCAGTTCTTATTGCACAATTTATTTGAAGCAGATTTTTACGACTGTATGCCCTTACTAATATCAACCCGTGACGGGAAGTTTTTCCACACTCTATCTCTTTTTACTGAGTGCTAAGCAGAGAAGCAGTGTGTACCATTTTTCAAGTCTTTGGTATGATCCGGCCGGGATTTGAACCCACGACCTTCCGCATGCGAGGCGAGCACTCTACCATTGAGCCATTGCTGCGGTACAAAAATACGTTTATGTATACGTGTACGTAGTACGTTGCAGTATCCAAAATTGGCATCGAGGCAACGGAATCGGGAGAGTGCTAATTATTTTAGAATTGATGTTGGCTGAGCTTAGATGTAAATGTTAATTCAAGTGTGAAAATTGACTGCATTGCAGTAGCGCGAATTGTCCATGGAAATTTCCGATCAGGTTATGCAATCGGATTGTTATGATGCGGATGGGAGATCAATCATAGGCCTACTACATGCGTTATTATGGTGAAATATTAATTTCGTGAGTTTATTATTCTTTATTAAGATGAATTTAAAGCAGATTTTCTTCTTATTATTTTTTTTCAGAGTTTTTATTTAATTAAATTGACATAAAAATCACGCAAACTTCGCTACACACAAAACTGCCAATCTTGCATTGAACCGCACAACGACATTTCTCACCGGCCAATGAAATCATCGCTGTGACGCTGTCCGGTGCGGTTCAATGCAAGATTGGCAGTTTTGTGTGTAGCGAAGTTTGCGTGATTTTTATGACGTGATGTTTGACACGACGTGACGTGATGTGACGTTATGACGTGACGTGACGTGACGTGACGTGATGACGTGACGTGACGTGACGTGATGACATGACGTTATGTAAAATAAACGTATATAAAAATAATTTAAAAAAAGACATTTATTAACGTATTTATTGGTATTGGTTGATATATTATGGTTAGTATATGATATTTTGAAAGACGTTTATAGTTGACGTTAATCTCGTTAATCGTCAATAGAAAAACGTGTTTCATGATATATATCTTCCAGTTATAAAATTTTGTAAGGAATGCATTAGTAATACTTGCGTAACACAGTATATTACTGTATATACATTTAGAAGTCGCTTGTTCACGATTGCTTTCAGTGTTCACCTTTGCTTTCCAGACTGTACTTAGACCACTATCTACTACTCCTGGGCATCTCCTGACTTCTGGTAGCATCGTATATGAACCAACACTTGTTTTGAAACTAAACAAGTCTGTTATCGCCATGGCAAAGCAAAAAAAATGCGGAAACGTCGATCTGGGCTTCCTAGAGGTGGCGCCACCATGGCGGCTGCAGTCCCGCTGCTTTCCCAGTAAAGTTGGCGGGAAGCCAGCATGGTTGGCCCTGAGAGATCTACCCAGTGAGGAGACGCTGCGGTGTGGCGCGTGCCGGAAGCCGTGTGTCTTCCTGCTGCAGGTCTACGCTCCCATTGACGCTCGTGACGACTGCTTCCACCGCACGCTGCTGGTGTTCACTTGTCGTGACCCGCTCTGCTACGCGACGCCGCATGATGGCCGCTGCCTCCTTGCCTTCCGCTCCCAGCTGCCGCGTCGCAACGACACATACGACTACGAACCACCAAACCTCGATGCGGACGACCCGGCCGTCACGCCGACGCCCCCTACGCTGTGCGCTGTGTGCGGTTGTGCGGCAGCTAAAACCTGCTCTGCGTGTCACTGCGTGCATTACTGCACGCGAGAACACCAGACACTCGACTGGAAGGCACACCACAAGCAGGTCTGCAAGACCGTGACCGCAGCGACGGCTGGAACCACTCCCTGCAGCAACGCGCTACTGTTCCCAGAGTTTGAGTTGGTGACTGAACCTGAAGGGACTGACGACCATCAGGAGGCGTTGACTGAGGAGAAGGATGCATGTAGTGCACAGGGGGAGGGCTTACAAAAGGACATGGCGATGGCAGGATACAAGGAGTACGTGGAGAGATGTGGCGAGGGAACACTGAGTGACGTGCCAGACACAGAGCTAGAGTCGATGGCGTCGACGCAGGTCATGAATGATCGGCAGTTCTTGGTATTTAAGCGTCGCATCAGGAGTGAACCTGAGCAGGTGCTGCGTCATGATCGCGGGGGGGAGCCACTGTGGGTAAGTGATGCGGCTGGCTCGCGGCCCGACGCTGTACCGCCATGTCCGTGCGGCGCGCCACGCCAGTTTGAGCTGCAGGTGTTGCCGCAGCTGCTCATGCATCTGAAAGTGGATGCGTTGGGAGCCAGCATCGACTGGGGCACCATCGCCCTGTACACATGCAGCCGCAGCTGCAACACAGGTGCCACCTATCACAGCGAGTTTGTCTGGAAGCAGGATTTCGCGACGACAGATAAGAGTACGGAATCTTAACTGAGTGGTGGTGATGTCAGATTACAGACTGCATTCACTGCAAACTCCCTGCAAACTAAAACTTCAACAACTAGGGGGCCGTTGTCAGAAACATCGTAAAGTTAAAGGGACAGTAGCCTCTAGGATTTTACTGCATACAACTGTACTTACTGTATAACAAATCGTCTATACCCACATGTATTTGTCACCAGATACTTAATTAATTATTTACACATCAACGCTACGAAATTGAACGGCGCCATGACACCCGCGACCGTGCTGCCACCCTGAAAAAGTTGCGTATTTGCATTTTTATTTTGCAGGTAAATGACCGGGGGCTAATCACAAAAGTACAATTATATTTATACCTAAATGCTATTTAACCGAACGATATTCATTTTAGGGCAAATTTATCCATATTATAACTGAAACTATATGTCATTTATAAGATATTACAATCCTTTTGCTTTTAAATGAATAAATAAGAAATACCCTCGGTCTGTAGCCCTTGGCTGGAAAGTGGTTTTGCGCAACTTCTCAGATCGTGCGCTTTGAGTGGCGCCACCGTCGTTGTAATCAAACTGTATTCGTTAGTTTTAAAACATTTAAAAAAAATTTTTCTAATGGTGATTGAACCATAAAACTTTTTATGTAGCGCAATTATAACCTAAATTAGCCGAAAATAACCCTAGAACCTAGAGGCTACTGTTCCTTTAATGCTAATGTTAACTACGATAACACTTACGACTAATGTTAATGTTACGAGAGTAGTGTTGACAGAAACACATCGTAGCTACGAGCGAACTCACCATAACAGGAACTTCATAATTTCATGTCACAAGGCTGCTGATTGAATGAGAATCGATCACAAAATTCAAATTCATACACATTTATTGTACATCACAGTAATTTATGAATTTTATGATTGTAATGTATGATGTAAATAATATTTGATGAAAAACGATGTGGTCATGAATTTATTCTGCAAAACAAGACAAATTCTCACACTGTAGCACGAGACACGAGAGTCGTGGCAAGTGGCAAACTAGTTAAAACAAGAGAACAAATGCCATACGCCATTTGTAAATGTTTTGTTTTGTTTTATGGTCGGTAGATAATGAATGATTTTGACGTGATTATTATAAAATATAATATCACTATAATTGTAATATCTAGTGTAAATGTGTTATTTTCGTTTAATCTTAATATTAAAGTTACGAGAGGGTCTGGGCTCTCGTAATGTTAAGAGGATATTTTCGAGGATTTTTTTATTCTCGTAACTTTGCGATGTTTCTGTCAACGGTTTACGAGTGGAAGTTAATGTTAAGACTATGTTTTTTTGTTTTTGACAACGGGCCCCAGAAGTGTATGCTCGTAAAGATTTCATCTTTGTGTAATTGTGTTTGTCATAGTAGCTTTTAGTAAGAGGAAAATAATGTTAGTCTGAGTTAGATCCATAATAAAGTTATAAAAACTTACATTGACAATATTTTCGTCTATCTCACTGATAGAATTCTTCAGGTCTGGCTTTTCCAGTCAGATGGCAGCACTGGAAACGATGTTCGAACGTGGTCACTGTCGGGCGGCCCACAGTCTGCGGCCCTCTCGTGCAGGTGCAGTTCTGAGGATATTGTCATATATAAGTGAGGTAGTTCACCCCCTCACATCTGTTCATTGTAATCGGTTCTCTGCGTATATATATAGCTTTTCTGATCTGCCTGCACATCGGAATAGATTCTTTCGACACCACAGTAGCCTCTTTCCAGTTCGGCAGATGATTTTCGTCGACCATGTTGTCCGTTATGGCTGACTTAAACAAATTTTCTACCGGTTTCCCATATGTACACGCTATCACAATTTGAGCAACCGATGCTGTGCGCACAGCCTGTTGTATTTTCGTTATAAATTTTGTCTTTCAGATGCACTAGAATGTTTCTGATGGTTTTATTAGGTTTAAATGCTGATGCGATGTTATGTTCTTTTAAAAGTACGAGCTAACCTCTCGGACATACCATTAATGCACGGGATGATGACTAAACCCTCATTTTTAGTTTGCCTTGACATCGTCAAGATGAGCTATTGCCATGGGGTGTCGTCCGTCGTACGTCTGTCCGTCCGTCAACATTTGGCTACGGTCAACGATAACTCAAGAACCGTTTGACCCACATGTTTCAAATTGCATGCAGTTGTTACTCCTATGGGAGGTTTGAACGTTCTATTTTGGAGCACGCCAGTCGACCTACTTTCGAGCCACGTCCACTTTTTGGCAAAAATGGGAATGGCCATCTAAATTCATTCGATTTTGTTAAATTTTGGTATGTGAATGTGTATAAGGCTAGCCCCAAAACAGTTGTTACTCCTATGGGAGAGATGACAACGTCCTATTACGTTTATTTCGTCTAACTGGTCAACAACTCTGCAATCATACCTATATACGTGTTGGACAGTCGAGAAAGGGAACCAAAACTTTGCGTCCTGCCTTGAACCGATATACTTTGTTTTTTTCGATCTGTAAATAAATATTACAAATAAAGATACTAACCATTACAATACACATAGAACAATATAAATAGAGACTGTACATGACATAACAACGTTACGACAAAATAATCTCAGTAATTTCAATGCGTTCTCTTTAGAGAATTTATACTCTAATTCAAATCAATAATACTTGAAGCAAATAATACACTTCTATCGTTTGCACTCGAAATACAGTTGTAGAACAAGCATGCCTCAAATACAAGCTGCATCAATGTTTAGAAGCCACACCTTATCCACTAAAATAAACATTTTGTCACGTTGTAACCCTACATTCCTTAATTTCCTTGCTAGGTATTAACGTCATTGTCAAGCCTACGCTCTCTCTCTCGCATGCTGCGCTGGCCGTTCCCGCATTGCTCTACTAAACAAGTCGACCATATAAAGCCATCAGTCTACAAATGAAGCAGCAGCATGCGATGTAGGCCGCTGATAAGATGAGAAATAAAGTATAAGGTTGCAGCTTAGTACTTTGCTGCTGTATTAAAAATCTACAAAGGCATAATTCCTGTCTAAGGCAATTTTCTACACATTGCCACTGAGAGAAAGGCTGAGAGTGAGCTGTCTCATCAACTAGTAAAATTCCATATACAGCTAATGATGGCGATGCGCACCCTATCAAGTAAGAGCAAGAGATCAAAAGAGCAAGAGGATGCAAGAAGAGAATAGGAATTCCTGATGTAAATATACCCACAGCAACAAATTAACCATTAAGCTCAATAAAGTATATAAATTATCACTTACTTCTTTGACAGGATACAATTTCATCGTGCCGACCAATCACAGCGAACTGCTTGCGCTAGCTCTATCAAACTACTGCCAGTTACACGCCGAACACGCACTGGCTACAATCTAACTGGCTTCTAACACAAACGACGTGACGTCTAGCGACCGTACTGTTAACAATTTAAACAAAGCTGTGTCTAGACGCGCTACTGTAAAAGAAAAATATCGCTACATAGGTTGCGTTACCACACAGTAGTGACGCCGCACCATGCGAAACAAAGTACTTAACAAAACCCCTGCTTCGTGAAACATTCCTCCCCCGCACCATGAGGGAATTTTCCTCATGATGAAACACACTTAATCTCTGGCTATTTAAACATCTAACCCTCAGCCGGTAAATAACCGCATCTTGTAATGGACGGCGGTATTCTGCAGTCCGTGTCTTTGCCTTTACGTTGCGAACTTTTCCATCTAGACCGGGTACACTTGCGTAATGCGGGCGATGTCCATTTCCACGCACAGCATTAGCATCAGCCATCATCACTATGTCGTCAACGAGCGAACGTTACGGCGGTCAACGTTCCACTTCCGTCGTGGCGCTAACAAGGAGAACATCTCTTGTCCAACGCTGCAAAAATGAGTCGACGATGCGCTGAAACGAGTTCGACCGCATGCCTGGGATTTCTAGTTTCGCGGAATGGCCTTGTGAGACATCGCTGAAGCCGCGTCCTAACAGCATGTCATTAGGACTCAGGTAGCTCCGTCATCAGGATCGGTTGGGATTCTGCCAATCGGCCGTTGATTCACTAGATTAGCAACCTCTAGTAGGCACGTGTATAGCTCGAAGGCGTTAAAGTTTGCTCTCCAATAGCCTTCTTGAGAGCATACTTGCAGCTTTTCACCAATGTTCGCACATCCATTTTGGTGTGGCGCTCAGGCGTGATGAATTTCCACTCCATGCCCCTTTCTGCACAGAATTCTCTCAGCCTATCACCAGACCAGCCTTGCCACCATACTCCTCAACTCACGTTCTGCTCCCAAATTGCGTTCCATTGTCACTTAGGATTGTTACTGGCTGACCCCTAATCGGATGAATCGACGCAGCACCTGTATAACTCCATGCTAGAGCAATCAACAGCAAGCTCTAAATGGACTGCTCTTGTGTTTAAACATGTGAACAGAACTCCATAGTGTTTAGCAGTCTTGTTCCGTCCAACCTTCACTGGAAATGGCCCGAAATAGTCACATGCTGTATGGTGAAATGGTGGTGTATGCGGGGCTAGTCGTTCTATGGGTAACTCTGCCATTTCCTGTGTTTCTGTTTTGTGATCAATGCTCTGCATACGGTACATCTGAAACTTCACAGTCTTTGCAAGTTTATGCCCTTTTAGAATCAGTAGTTTCTTCTAGTCTTTGCTGTGGTAGCCGCAAACTCGCCATGACCACTCTCATGAACATGCTGCGTTATCAGTGTCGATATCCATGTCGTAAGGAAGCAGAGCTGGGTGCTTTTATTTCAAACGGCATTTAGCCCTGTCTACCTCTGCCTCCTACTCTAATAATGCGCTGCATCATCTATAAAGGACTGAGCGCTTTCATTTCTCCTTTCGATTCGGGATCTCAAAACACTCTGAGCACTCTGATTAGGAATGTCTCTCCTTTCTGTAACTCACAGGTGTTAAAATACTGTGTTTCTCTGTCACCCTGTTCACCCTGTTCTGCTGTATCTTGATTTTAACTTGTTCACAAACTTTAGCACATATGAAGTAACTCTGATCAGCTTCCTCCAACTGAGAATCTTTTACAATCATTACCTCTTCCCTGGTTTGTTACCAACACACTGATTGCTCCTTCGTCTTCCTTTTCCCTTCTGATAGCTTTTCATCTGTCT